GTTTCTTTCTACTTTAGTAAATTTTATTTTAGTAGATTGAATTGTATGTGCCAATTAGTTATATAGTTAATTTAATTGTTCTATATATTTTTTCTTCTTCTTGTGTGTAGAGCCTTTAAACTTGTTGTTTGGTGGGGAATTGAAAAAGAAGAGAGAAATTTAGGGTTGAAGTTCATTGGCGGTACCAATTTCATACTACAAATTCATGGTCGTTTGACATATGAGCAACTATGTGAGGTGATCAACTGGAATCTACGAGAAGAGAGGGTAGAGGGCACATTAGCTTCCTTTACATTTAGACTGCCAGAATTACAAAGAAATGGTAAATTTTATCACTATGGTATTTCGCTTATGGATGTTGTTGGAGTTGATATGATAACGGATTTTATGACGCGAAATCCAAATCGCGAGTTTGCTGAAATATGTGTCGAGTTTGCTAGTCATCTTGAAGAGGAGGATGATATGTATAGTATGCGCTCGAGTAGTGTCCATAGTGAGTCAGATGATCTTATAGATGAGGGCAATGAGGATGATAACGATGTAATTGCACGTATTTGCGCCCCTAGTTCTTATCCGTTTGAGGGGCATAGTCTTGTATTTTTGGCCTATTTTACGCTGGGTTGTGCTATTTTGTCATATTTCAGGTCCCAGGCGTCAAAGGGAAGGCTAAGCACGAGTTTCGGGGCATTCGGAAGTCATTTCGTCGAGCTGGAGCCAAAACACGGGCACACCTCAAGCATTACACGGCCGTGTTCTGTGGCCGTGCTTTTACTGCCGAGAGCTAATTGAGTTTGGCAAATTCAAGCTGCAAACAGGGGCTGAAAGCACGACCGTGTCCACCAAAGCACGGCCGTGTCCATCATCAAACACGCCCGTGTTTCTCCCAACACAGTGACCGTGTAATTAACACTAGCCAAAGCACGGGCGGGCTGAGGCATTACACGGCCGTGCCCTCGACCGTGCTTTGGCCACTGATGCCCTTTTAAGCAGATTTTCAGCCAAAGAGAAGGGGATTCGAGTTTTGAGAGAGATAGAGCGATTCCTAGAGAGAGAAAGTGACGAACAAGAGTCTCCAAGTGCCCTAGCTTGATCTTCAACACCATTGGAGGCCAGTTTGAGCTTGGAGAAGTGCCGATCAACGTCCAGGAGCAGGAATCCATCCTTCACAGTATGAATTCCGCGTCTGATTCTGCTTTTGCTTCTTTCTCCATGGAGTAGTTCTCCCATTCATCTGGCTATGGAGAACCCTAGATTTGTATGTTAGGTTTGATTGTATGAACCCAAGTACTGATTCTATGATTTGAGTATGTTCAATTGAGGTTTGATTGATTGAATGGCATGAATCCTGATCAAATTCCTGTTGTTTCTGCTTTAACTAGAATGAGAATATCTGCCTAGGTTGATAGAGCATCCTTGATTGAAGGTAGGGAGTTGGTGACTTTAGTCGAGGAGCCAACTCACTATTCTGTATCGGATTCACTCCGGTAGTGGAGGTTTTGTTTGTTAAGGCCTCAATCTATTTACTCCGGTGGAGGTTAGTCGCCCGCTAGAGACTCAGATTGAGAGGGTCTGAAGACCTTTAGTCGAGACTTCAGGCTGTTTAAGAACCTTCCGCAATATAACTATCATAGAAACTGACCTTGGTAATTACAATCCGGCTTAACTGCAGTCTAGGGGGAATCATATCCGGGTGACCTCTCTTAACCCGAATACAACAGTTTACTTGCTTTGTTAGTTTGTTAGTTTAGACTTGCATTGAAGTTTCATTGCTAGATAACAAGAATTCACTGAGTAGTCATCAAATCTAGGACCCGGGTTGATAATTAAACCCAAACCCGCTATACTACGCTTTAGGAAGTGGTTTCACTTGGCCAATTCCTGGAGTGAGAGTAGAAATGAGTCAGAGGACGAGGACGGGGATGATGGTGATGATGTTGATGAAGGCGAGCATCGAGTTGTGATCGAGGGAGCTTGTGCTACTTCAAATGTAAAGACATATGTTCCCGCGGCACATTATTTTGTGCTCCCAGAAGACTTTGACAACGAGATGAAAGTTGACTCTTACGGAGATATGAATGACGATCTAGGATGCCGCCTGGGACAAGAATTCTACATTGGCCTGATATTTTGTTCAAAAGAAGCTGTACAGAGGGCCTTGAAGCTTTACGCGATGGAACGTAACTTCCAATTTAGTGGTAGAGTCAACACCAAAACTTTGGAAGGTGAAATGCTACAACTACAAGGAGAGAAATTGCACATGGATGGTTTGAGTTGCCTCCAAAGACTCTACCAATGATTGGATAATTAAAAAGGCAAATTTTGCACATTCGTGTAGCAATCTCCTTTGATGGTGAACAAAAAATATTTCTAATTGCATTTGCCGTTGTCAAGAGCGAGAACACCCATAGTTGGCCATGGTTCATTAGGCATCTTCAGAGTTTGACTGACCGCAATGACATATGCATCATATCCGATCGACATGCGGGGTTAACTGAAGCACTTAGAGATATTGGCAGAGGTTGGGTGTGGAGGTGGTGTCTACAACATTATGCCAGCAACTTCAATAAGAAGCATAAATCTAGACTTATGCAAAATCAACTGAAGAGGACTGATAAATTTAAAAACATTGATTTTCAATGCTATGTTCTTTTAAACTGTCTTTAATATTAGCAATTAATTTTACTTTGTTAAATGACAGGTTCGGAAAGACGTATTTTGAAGTTCAATCGTCAAGCTAATCAATTTTTGAAAATGGCAGACGAGAGAGGAAAACGATGTAGTGAGTGGGTTGAGCAGCATCAGATCTTTTGGAGCATTGCACATGATAATGCTGAGGTTGGACGTCGTTGGTCCGTGCGGACATCTAATATGGCTGAGAGCATCAATGGGGTTTTCAATGGAATTCGCACGTTGCCTATTGCTGCCCTAGTGCAACATACTTTTTGGAGACTTGTGAAGAATTTTGATGATCGAAGGTTGGAGATTGAAGCACAGATCAGAGACGACATGTCCTACTCCAAGAAATGTGAGGAGTTCATGAAGAGCTGGTCGGAGAAAGCAGTTGGGCATTCTGTTAGTGCGTATAATCGATCCGAAGGACGGTACGAGGTCAGGACCCCACCCAACAATCGTACGATGACAGGTGGGAATTTGCTAGAGGTGGAGTTTGACTATGATGGGCGGGTTGGAAGATGTAGTTGTGGAAAGGTAGTGCAATAGGCTCGCGCATACTGACTAGTAGTATGATCTGAAGCTTCCTCTGGCAAGGTAGTGAACGCATCTCTAAGCCAAGAGTACTTAACACGTCCATTCGCAAGATCTGATCGCTGCTCTACAGGAGGAAGTTTCCTAAGTAGACTCATGCATATATCATCCCATGATGAGTTTGGAATATCTAGGATCGCAGCCTGTCCGTCGATTGATAATCCTGTAAGCACGGCAACATCCTCCAAAATAAAGGTACACTCGCCACAAGGGAGGTGAAAAGTGGAGCTCTCTGGTCGCCAATGCTCCACTACTGCCGTGATCACGTCAGAATCACCATGCAACAGGGCAAGCTCCATAACAGTATACAATCCAGCAGCCCGAATGTATGGTTCATAAACTCCGTAATACTTGCCTAATATAGATGTACCTCGAGTTATATGGACGAACCAAAGCCTATATTCATCATCATGTAACCATTTAATCAAAATAAGTATATCACAAACTCACTATAACTTTACTGTAAATCTAGAATATTCATAACCACTAATAAAATATTATGCTAATCCATGCTAACTCACACGAAATTTAATAACTTATAATTCAAAAGCACCTATATAGATAAAAACTATAAACTTAAACAATTTATATCCACTAATGAGTACTTTTCCCTAATTCAAACTAAATTAAATAACTTATAATTCATAAATTAAAGTACATACCTTATTTGCCCAAACCAAATCGGCTCGATGTTCACCATCCGCCCATAATAATTCGTTCTCTAATGGAGCCGGATTTAACGTTCTTGGTGGCGTCATCAAAGCATATTGATCATAAACAATAGGAGCTGCAATTAACGCACAAAATAGAATTAAAAATATATTTAAAAACCTTGCCGGAGACTCGCACCGGTAATTGGGAACTAGCCGCCGGTAACCGGAACCTCGCCGCCGGCAATAAATTGAAGGAGATTGGCGGCGGGACTCACGACGAGCTACTGATTGCCGACCGCCACCTCTGCCTCTGCCTCTCCTACGCCCACCAGTGTCGGGATTCTCGACACGGTGCCCTCCTCCATCGTCAAGCTCTTCGCCCTCCATTGCCGGCGGAGTTTGGGTGGTTGATGGTGAGGAAGCGATCTCCGGCGACTTTATAGGAAGTTTCAGGCGATTTGTTGGGAGGTATGGAGGAAGAAGACGATACAGAGAGTTTATAAGGCATCTGGGCGAAGAATAGCCGAATTAGGGCGACAATAATTTGGTAGCTTTAGTATTAAATTCGGGCGCCCACGCCCCAATTCACTTTTCTGAGACTAATTGAGGCGTGCGCGCCCCAATTCGTCTTTATAGACAGTATATTGGGAATTATTTTTCCAGTCACTGTATTTCGGGTATTTTTTTAAAATTACAATATTTATGTAAAAAACCCTAATGCTACTAGTTTCCATATCTGAATCTATACCAGTGAAGAAGACGAACAATTTCACTTTTGCATAGGGCGGCAATTCGTCTCCTTCTTCTTTAACTGGTCTGCGATGAACGTCTTAGGAGATATGACGGCATGTCGGCGGCGATGGTTCATCTTCTTCTTATCTGCCATACGTCCGGTCCCGTCGATTCACTTCTAAAAGCCATGTCAGACTCAGTCTCTTTAAAAATTGTGGCCCACTGCCAAACAAAGCAACAACGACCATCAGACCATCTGTTTCCCGACTAAGAACATAGGAATAAATTGTGGGCAAATTGGGGCTAACAACTTCATGGTGAGGGGAAGGTTCTCCAGGCTGGTGACACGACATGATGGAGATTCTGATGATCACCGATTTCCTCTTGTGGTGGTCTGGATCTGGGCTCGGATGCATTAAAGTGACGCGGCGGAGCTCTGCGGATTGGCGACAGGGAACGCCGACGACACTCTTTGTTAAGGATGTTACCACAGAGGTTGGGTTTAAGGGAAAGGAGGAGACCTCGAGATGGAGCAATTCAGATTCTTCCTCCGCTCACTGGAAATCTATAACAACGTATGAGACGAGAAGGTAATCCGCAAGAAAAGAGAGATCGGGAAGAGATGGAGAAAGAGATTTTTTTTCTTCTGATTTTGACTTTTATTTTATTTATATTTTAATTAAAATTTTTTGTTAACCACTAATGAATGAATTAATTGTTGTTGTACAATTGTAATATCAAAAGTTGCATATGGCACATTTGCTAAAGATTGAGATTTCTAGTGGTATTAGCTCTGATATAAATACAATAACTAAGTGTACGTGAGATTTTTTTTATCTAAACCTCACAATATTTGTCAATATTTCTACCACCAAGTAATAATTAAATAATGAGTTTAGCTGTCATCATGATATATAATAAATTCTAATTTATGCATAAATAATATTAGAACAAAATATAACTTTATTATGTCCATCTCAAATTCTTAATTTATTTATCATGTGGTAAATTGCAAGGTTGATGACTGGGTTTACAAAAACCGTTCATGTTTGGTCACTACAAATGTTTAATTTCATTTGAGGTCATTAAGATTAGTTCAATAGTTCATGTCCGGTTACTCTCCTTTAGTCTCCATTAACTTTTTCCAATGTTGCAGTCAATGTTTATAGTTGACCGTTAAATGAGTGACGTGGCTATGAAAAATAATAAAAAAATAAATTTAATTTATAGTAATTTCCACTTCATTACACATTTGTTAAAAAATAAATTAAAACCAAATTTCTACTAATTGGCCCCTTTCTCTTCTCCCCCCTTCTTTTCACCAACTCCCCCCGGAAACTCCCCATTGACAAAACCCAGTTGGGGAAGGGCATATCAGCAGTCTAAAGGATGGATGTAGGGATGGCAATGGGTCGGGTTGGGTCAGGTTTTACCAAACACAAACTCAAACCCATGGGTTTATCCGTAAAAAAACCCGGGATAAAACCCACCGGGTTTGAAAAACTCAAACCCAACCCAACCCACTAGGTATTCGTGGGTTCATGGGTACCTATGAGTTTTCGTAGTAAAAAATTTACAATAACAAGTTTCCATCAAAATAAAATTCAAACATCAATTTCCCCATACATAAAACACCATTTTAGAAAATTCAAACATATCACAATTACACTAAATAAAAGCACACGAAATAAGTGTAGTGATAGCTAGATTGGGGGAAATTAGAATTAGGATTGTGTTTGAGGAGAGTAGAGCGACAGAATAAATGCGGGCAGGTATCCATGGGTCGGGTATCCCTAAGCCCAAACCAAACCCAACCTGGTGAATAGTGTACGGGTTTAAACCCAAACTCGGCCTGAAACTCGTCAACACGAGTTTTACCCACGTTGACCGGGTTGGATCGGGTAGGTTACCCGTAGGTTCGGGTTTTGTTGCCATGGATGCCCTCTGCTAAATCAAAGTTGCTCCTACTGAGACTTCTTCTGGGTTGCGCTGTCCTTGACGGCTAAGTTGGTGATAATCGACAAAGGAGCACCAGCGGCGGTAGATCTGCTGTTCTTTTTCCTTCTCGTTTTGGATGTTGATTCCGATAGGCGGGATGGCTTTATGCATCCCTCGGGGATCTAGGGTTCAATTGAGATCGAGCAGGCGGCAAAAGCTGTTTCTCCAACTCTTTGGAGGAGGAGGACGCTTGGTCGTGGTGGTGCTGGGCGGCTCATCAAATCTATTCCAACTCAAATTTTTCCAACCGCTCCAAATTGAATCCAAGATGAAGTCAAAGCGGCAATCATTTGTCAAAGCCAATCAGATGTCCCCAAATGGCGCTGCGGCGGCTGGCGATCAAGGTCAAGCGGGCGGCGATATGGCGGGGCGAGCGAGGAACGACTGTGCTTAGGGCGGGAAGTTTGGTACCGGTATTTTGGATATATCGAATACCGTATCGAATTTTCCTATATTTGGTATTACTGAATACATGTATTATTTATTGGGATTGAGATTGGGATTCAATTTCAATTGTTATTCGGTATTAAGGATTATGGAATTGGGATCGGTATATACCGAAACATAAGCTAGTGTGTATTTTATCCTCTCAACTAGACTCTCTCATTCACCACTACCCTCAACCACCAATCCATTGTTATTTTCATAACACCAAAAAGCAAACACTATTATTAGCCTTCTCTCAGCCTCCATTTCGTCATATTAAAAATTACCAATGACAAAAACTTGAGATGTCACCTCTACTCCATTCTCCTTATCCATATCCTAGCTATAGACAAACTGAAAACTCTTTGTTTAGTCTTTTTGTCCTATATTAAACAATCAAATCTAATTTATATATTTAATTATTAATTGTAAAGGTAAATAATTTCGTATTCAATAATACCGGTTGGGATACCAAAATATTTAGGGATTGGGATTGGGATACCAAAATTATTTAGGGATTGCGATTGATTCTAAAGTGTAATTTGGTATTTGGTATTGGGATATCGATACCGTACCGATTTCCACCTCTAACGGTGCTGATGAGATTGCAGCGAATCAAGATAGAGATGACGGCAAGCAGGAGAAACCCGAAGAGGTAGTAGTAGAAGACAGAGAAAGAGAAGCTGAATATGAAAATGATGTTGTGGAAGAGGAAGGAGCAGCTGGGATTTCTTCTCATTTACCCAACTGTGTTTTGTCGATGGGGAGTTTCAGATGGGGAGTTGGTGAAAAGCAAGGGGAGAAGAGAATGGGGCGCCAATCCGTAGAAATTAGGTTTTTAATTTTTTTAATGAATGTGTAATGAGGTGAAAATTAGTATAGATTAAATTTTATTTTTTATTATTTTTTAATAGCCACGTTACTCATTTAACGATCAATTATGAATGTTGACTGCTACATCAGCAAAAGTTAATGGAGACTAACGGATAGTGACCAAACATGAATTATTGAACTAATGTTAGTGACCACGAATGGAATTAAATATTTGTAGTGACCAAACATGAATGTTTTTTTGTAAACTCAGTGACCAACCTTGTAATTTATCCATTTATCATCTATCACCAAAACCTCCTCTTGACGAAACTCACTAACTTCTTTATATTCTCAATGAATTCTCCGAAAATAATGTTTTAAGTTTTGAACATCAACTAGATTATTTTATGTATATTTTATATGAAAATATATTAGATGTTTCTAAAACTAGATAACATTCCAGAGTTTTTTTTAATCGTGTTCACTGAAAGAAGTAAATGAGCATTAATGTTACCTAAGCCTTCACTACAATAGTTTGAAATGATATTTGCAATGACCCACGTAAACAGCACTCTTCGATATCTAATGTGACAAAATTATGAATGTTTATTTGTTATATGATATATTCAGAGGCGAACCCACTTGTTTGCAAGGTGTCTCATCTGACACACCTTCGGCCGGAATTTTTGTGAGAAACTATTTTCGGTGTAAAAATTTTGAACATAAAAACTCTATTGAAATTCTATTCCCTCCTCTACGGCTCTCAAACTTCTCTGTATTTCCAGCCTCCTTAGATTTGTATAATCATAAATCGCATATGAGATCTCCAACATCTATACTTTGATCTTTGTGAATCTGTCATTTGGCTCATACGTTGTTATATTTCCGCCTTGCATTCTATTCAAATATAAGTATATATATATATAAAAAGAAATATACGTCCTTATAACAAAATTGTAATGCTAATGCATCATGCATGCATGCCAATTTTGTTGGAGTAGGAAGTCGAACTGCAAGTGCTGGGGAAATCTGAATCCAAGAAGGAGAAGGATTTGTTTGGTGCCAAGTAGGGATGGCAATCAAACCCATGGCCGCGGGTATCCGACCGCCCCCGACCCATTCAACGCGGGGAATCCCCGCTTTTACCGGGTATGGGGCGGGTATGGGTAAAACCCGCAAAAAGTACCCATCCCCATACCCGCCCCACCAAGATAATTTCTTCATATATAAAAAAATATGTGCATCAAATTATAATCTATCAATGATGATGAGGATAACTTGAGAAAATAAATAGTAGAAATGCAATTGATTGACCGCCTTAATCAAAATCTAATTCATTTCTCTCAATTCTCATTTCACTCTTTCACTTTCCCTCTTGTCAACAAGATTATGTTAGTTAATTATTATTTAGTAGATGTATCGAGTTAGAACATAATAATTTGAAAAATATTATACTCTATATTATGTATTAATGGATATTTTAGGATCATAATCTTTGAATCATATTAAAAAATGACCGTGTTTTATTGACTTCATGATATAATATGTTCGTTTAGAATTATAATTAGAACTTTTCTTGTAAGTTTTAGGTATAATAATGTTGGATTTACGGGTATGGGTATTACCCATGGGTACCCGAAACCCACGGGTATGGGGATGGGTTTGCAAAACATTCCCCGCATGGGTATGGGGCGGGTATGGGTTTGGGTATTTGAAGATGGGTATGGGGATGGTTTAAGCAAACCCGCCCCAAACCCGCCCCATTGCCATCCCTAGTGCCAAGGTTCAAGTGTGGGTTTGATAAACAAGAAACGTTGTCGTTCATTTAGTTGGTGTCTGTCTGTCGAAGTGGTTAAGTGTCAGTTTAGTACTTGAGCTCTGTAAAGTATCAATTGAGTCCAATTAGCAGTTATTGTTGAACAAGAGTTATGGAAATCATGTTGCTGAGTTGCAAGAGGGTCCAGTTAGTTGTCAGTGTTGTGGAAGCCAGATCTGTTGGCTGAAACGTAAGAGTATTTAAGGGTCTTTGCCAATATCGAATAAACCGTCAGTTTGCAATCCTTTGTTTTCACAAATTTAAGGGCAATGATTGGCTACCGTGGTTTCTCATACGTAGTTTAGTTGGTGGTTAACGTATGCACACGTTTTTTAATTGTTGAAACTTTTATTCTATAAAATGATGTAAAAAAGAAGGAAATAGTACAATTCTATCAGTACGGAATGTTATTAGCACCATAGGCAAGAAAACCAAATAATAATAAACAAATCGACGAATTTAATCGGAAAAAGGGGGAAATCCGTTGTAAATATCGCAAAATGTAACTGAGCAAACACCCTAATTAAGAAAATAAAAAAACAAACAAACAAAAAGGCTGCCAGGAAAATGACCATCAGAAGTCACGAAAGTGATCATTAATGGCGTCCAAGTTTCTGAAACTGGGCGTCCCGAAAAACAAAGGATCCGTGTAGTTAAAGAACGGCGCCGGATTGGGGGTCCCACAATAGAGATGACGATCGCCGGCCGAGCCTGACGGGGGAAACACCGGCATGTTCGTCGTCAGCTGGTGGTAGGGGTTCGGCGTCGGAGATTCGAAAATCGAAGAAGTATTCGACGAAGAATTCGCCTGCTGTCCGTCGCCGCAGTTCTCCTCCGTAATCACCGATGAAGATTCGTTATCCTCGTTCTCGCCCCCGCCGCCGATCTTATTGTTGCTGTTGTTATTATTAATAATATTGGACCTCTTGTGATTCTCCCCCTCCGCATCGTTGCGACGCCCGCCGCCTGACTTCTGGTTCTGGACGCGGCGGTGGTGGCGACGAGACGACGATGGAGAAGGGTCGGCGGCAGGGTCTTCGTCGGAGCGGGAGAGGCCGGTGAGCTTCTGGACCAAGGCCATGAAATCCCTGGGGTGGGTGTGGATGACTTTGGGGGAATGGGTGTATATTATGACCGGGTGGCGCTGCGGCGGCGGTTTGGCGGAGCCCGCGACGGCGAGGGAGGAGGCGGAGGATGACGATGAAGAGTAGGGCGGGGAGGCGGATGAATTGTTGTTATTGTATGGCGGTGGTGGCGGTGGCGGTGAGGAGGATTTATTCTTGATAATGGCGCGGGAGTCCTTGTTGACTTTCAACGGCGGAGGGCAATTAACGGCGCTCGATCTCGTCGTCGCTTCCTGATTGTAATTATGGTGATGAGCGTCGTGGTGGAAACTGTGGGTTGTGGTTGGTCTCATTCTCGTGATGATGACCCTTTGATGATGATGATTAACTCTTTGTGTTTGTATAAGGAATGTGATTACTTGGGATTAAGCATTTTGATTTGGAGAAAGATGGGGATGGAAATGGGATTAGTGTTTCTCTCTGTTGGGGGAAAATTCTAGAGAGAGAGAGTGGGTGTGTGGGTTGGGGTTGTTGTCTATAAGGAGAGAGAGAGAGAGAGAGGTTTATGGAGAGCTGAATTTGTGGGATGGATGAGTGGTGTGCAGGGAAGGGATTAGGGATTAGCAAATTAAATGAGGCAGTTATGATACAACAACAAACTTTTAGTTTATTTTAACCCTAATTACAGGGGTTCATATTTTGGTGTGATGGTTTTACGAGATGATGTTGTGCCACGTGGAGTGCGGCTAGCTGGATTGTTGAAACTTATAAGTTTATTACTCAATTTGATCTTTCGCTAGATGTAAATGGAAAATAGTTTTACGTGTTTGTAACAAGAAATGGAACGCCGACTAAATTTGATATTTACCCTACGTGGGAACGACGTGATGGGGGTGAGTAAAAACTCTTTTGTTCTTATCAATAGGGAATGGGAAGCAGAAGAAAGAAATCGGAAGGTATAACTTGTTTCGAATGAAATCAGATAATATTCATATTACGGTTGTAGAAATTGGTAAAATATAGGGCACGATCTAATGGTTCTAAATTAAAAAAGTGGTAAATATCCAACGAGTTCAATCCATTGATCAACATGCTAAAAAAATCTCATATTAATTGGGCTTAATCAACACTAATATACAAGGGTTATTTCTCTTTTCTCCTAACAAAATCGTCCATATAACATTCGGGGTCGACTTTCAGTCACCATTTTGACAAAGATACAATCCGATCAATTGGGTCATTTCGATGTGGTTTAACCGGATTGGATGGATATACTCCCATACCATCCCTACTTATCAGCCAGGCGTACACAAATTTAATTTGTTTGCACGGATCACTACCAGAAAATCTATCTCTAGCGACTAAACATTGAGACAAATATTTTATCTGCCTCTAAAAGTACATCATATACAACATATATACAATTTGCCTCTATATGTTTTATTATCTGCCTCTAAAAAAGTTTATATACTACACATAAACAATCTGCCTCTATAAGTATTGTTCTCTAAAAATAAGTTTATATATGACAGATGAGAATTTGTCGCAATAAATGTTATTTTTGCCTCTAAAACAAGTATATATCCTACAACTATAAATTTGCCTCTATAGAATACTTATTAAAAAAATTGCCATTAAAATGCTTTTTACTACCACCAATCCACCAAATACTCGTTATAAAAAAATTCCACAAAATACTCCTATCTCCTCATTATGTCCACCATTAATTAATTAAAAAAATGAAACCAACAATAAATAATACCACACTATCCTAGGCCCCTGTTACAACCACCAATTCACACGGCGTCTCTTTCTATTTCTCCAGTCCAAATCCCTAATTCCCTTTCCTCTTCCTCCCTCAACCTTCTCTAGGATACATACTGCTGCCATTGACGACCCCACTGCCGGCACAAAACTCCCGACCAGCAACCTTGACGTCGGAAATCCGGCGGCATAGAACCTCCCCCACCGTCGCCATTTTCTCAGCATTGTCGTCTTCCTCAAATCCGGCACTGGCGTCCTTAATGGTAAGTATACCTAAACTTGAAGCCTTGCTAGATGTAGCAATCTTTATATCCTTCAAATCCATCCACAATGAGCTCGGTTTTAATTCTAGATTCGTTTGGATCTCTATATTTGAAAACTACTCTAACCAAATCCATTAAAACAAGTGGTATACTCTAGATCTCTAATCGCACCTCTTGAAACTCCGTAATTGCACTCCCATGAAGCTACTCTCGCCACCAGCTTCTTTGCCGCCTCCACAGCCGACAAAGACCCTGAACTCACTAGAGTTCGCATCCCTCTTCGTTGGTAGCCTGAACGATATTGCTTTTCTTTTGTTGTTTATGCAAGTACTTTGTCTGTGTGTGCTTTATTTTGCTGGGTTTATGCAATTACTTTGTCTGTGTGTGCTTTATTTTGCTGGGTTTATGCAATTACTTTGTCTGTGTGTGCTTTATTTTGCTTGGTTTCTTACCTGCAGATAACATTCATTCGAATTCACAAAAAAGAAGGAGGACAACAAGATCTTCACACACAAGACCCTAGCTACCCATATCTGGAGAGAAGACGCTAAGATTTGTGAGGCCAAGCTCCGATTTGAGGTTGATTTGGTGATTTATCTAAAACTGAGATCCATAATTTCCTGGTAGATTCATTTCGGTCGGGACTGCCTATATTGTCGCAGTGGTTTCATTGAAGGGAGCATGAATAATAGAAGGCAAATCTCACTCCATGCCATACTCATACCAGAGAGGACAATATAATTGAAGGCACATGTATTAGCATAGTAGCCAATGTTTAGCGGCATTTACTTTTCCCACTTTTGGACTCTCATTTCCCTTGTATTCAACAGTCACTGTACACTCATTACTTATCCGTTCAATGATCATATAAATGAAATCAATGGAGTGTTGTACAATATAGTCACATTTCTTAATCAATTTTTTTATAATGTTAATCCATTCAACAAATCAAATACAAAAGAACATCTATTAGCCTCTAAAAGGTAATTTCACAAGCAAAACTATTTGCCTCCACAAATAATATTAGAGGCAAATTTTTTTTTTATGAAGGTGAAATTTATTAATAGAATCCAAAACGTCAAAAGAACAAAAAACAAGGAAAAGAGGAATAGAGGTGGATCAAAAAGGCTTGATCCCAGACCCGAAACAAGGAAACAGAAGGCGAACAAAAAGAAAAGCAGAAGAGCTGCTAGGAGGACCAGACCTCCTCTACAGCCAACGAGAAGAAAAAACAACTCCAAAAACAAACAACACGAAAGGACGAACCGAGCGCCCAAGAGTGGCGAAGCCCCCGAGCACACTAACAGAAGAATCAAGCTCAACCCGAGACCAACTGGAAACCACCTGGCCCACACGGGGTAGGCGAACGGGTCCCAAGCCAAAGCCACAACCAAAGAACACACAGCTGCTAAAGGAGGAGAAGAGAGCAGGACCCAAGCCAACACGCTTAGAGCCTACCCAACAACTCCTCAAGACTCCTCTTGCCCTGCTCTTTGTCCACTTTGCCACCTGCAACCGCCCACTCCACAACGTCCCTGAGAACTTTCCGAGCCACAAACTTGGGCTGAAGACGGGCCTCCCTGAAAATTCTGTTGTTACGCTCAAGCCAAACCTGCCAACACACAACATGCATCGCACCATAACGGATCCAACTCGCCACATTATCATCACACTCAGTGGGCCACCTGGAGATAACTTGGGTAATTTCTCTAGCCATGGGCACGGCCATCCCACAAGCAATCCTCGTCCTATCCCACACCTCCTTGCTGAAGTCACACCGCACAAGTAGATGATCAACCGTCTCCTCTTCCCTGTTACACAATTCACACCTATTTGCAAGAGACATCCCCCTTTTTTTAAGATTATCGATCGTGAGGATGCTCTTATGAGCCGCAAGCCACATAAAAGAGCATATTTTGGTTGGAACAATCGGCCTCCAAACTAAATCAGCAGGGAAGTTCTCGATACCTTTGAACGACTCCCCCGCAAGGTACCTGTACATAGATCAAACAGAAAACGAGCACTCCTGGTTTGGAAACCAGACAGGCCTAGGGGGCCCACATGACACACGACCAGAACCACTAGAAATAAGCAAACTCAACAACTCGGATCTCTCCCTCTCAGCCCCCCTCTAAGGTTAGTAGATAAAGGAATTTGCCAAGAAACGGACTCACCTGAGAGGGACAAGGCATTAAGAATCCTGGCGTCCGGAGCGCTCGCAGCGGCAGCAACTCTAGGAAAAGCATCAGCTAGCACCACGCCAGGGATCCAACTGTCATACCACAAAGAAAACCAAGCTCCATTTCCTGGATCAACCCCAGCCATACTCCAGAAAGTGTCATACTCTTTAGAGATGTTGGCCCAAACCGATCTGGCAAAGCCTTGTCTGCTCCTCTCAGTGCACCAATCTGAATGCTGGTTTGGGTACTTAACATTAATCAAATTTCTCCACCAGCTTCCTCTTTTCGTAGCGAAGCGCCAAAGCCACTTCCCCAGCATGGCCTTATTAAAGCACACCATATCCAAAATCCCAAGTCCCCCTTGAGAAACTGGGGCTTTACATACATCCCATTTAACCAAAGACATCTTACGAGTTTCTCCTGTACCGCTCCAAAAGAACCTTCTCTGTATACTTTCCAGCCTTTTCGTAACTGTGATAGGGGCCTTGAAGAGAGAAAAGTAGTAAACAGGTTGACTGGAAAGAACGGATTTTAAAAGAGTCAATCTGCCTCCAATAGATAAATGCCTCCCTTTCCATCCTTCCAGTCTCTTCTGGTACTTGTCAACGATTGGGTCCCAAAGAGAAACAGCATTAGGTTTGGCCCCGAGAGGAAATCCTAAATACCTTGAAGCATCATTGCTCCATTTGCATCCGAAGATAGATGCAAAGAAATCCGGATTGGGAACGTCTCCCACTGTGAACATGACCGATTTATCCAGATTAATCCTGAGACCCGTGACGGCTTGGAAACACACAATGGTGGCAAGAATGTTTATAACCTGGTCATAAGCCGCATCACAGAAGATCAAAGTATCGTCTGCAAAGAGTAAATGAGTGACCTCCCCACTTCCTTCAGCCTCGTTCATACATAAACCGACAATCTTTCCACTTTCCCGAATCTTGCAAATCATGAAAGACAGCACATCCATGACTAAGGTAAAGAGTCCCGGCGACAAAGGATCTCCTTGTCTCAAGCCTTTCTGTGCATCAAAATAACCTTTGGATTCTCCATTAATAAGCACTGAGAGCTTCGGATTACACATGGTACCCTTGATCCACTTAACCCACTTCTCGGAAAAGCCCATATTGGAGAGGATTCTGAACAAACAATTCCAATTGACATTATCGAAGGCTTTCTCAATATCCAGCTTAAACATCAACCCCGGCTTTCTGCTTTTCTTCCGACTGTCCACAAGCTCAAAGGCGATTAGACCAGCATCTCCAATCTGTCTGCCCTTAACTGAAGCATGCTGATT